GAAACTGAGATCCAGGAAATGCATCAAAATCCCCTGTTTTCTGCCACTGAGCACACATTTTTACTTCCAGAAGGAACTTAACCTCTCCACTTGAATGCTAAAATTTTAAACAATGATTCAAAATTAGCACAGATAAATGCGAAAAAGAAATGCTTATTTTTGATAGACTTTATTTTCAAGCTGTGTCCAATGTGTTTACTCTTTTTTTAGTTCTTGTCATGGTTGTAACAATCACTAGCATGTCTATTTGTGGAAACCATGCTATTTTTAGCCTAGGAAGCGGGTTAGACAAGTGTCTTTGTTTTTATGGCCTGATCATGGATAGCTCTCACACATATTTAATTTATGACCAATCATCTGCTATTATTAGACATCCCATATTATTTCATCTCCTAAGTGTGGCTGAGACTGAGTAATGAATGATTCTGGCTGAAGTTGAGTTTTTCTAAATGCCTACAAAGCTTTCTGATTCAACTGTGGAAAATTTTTCTGTGGGACAAGCACATTAAGATTGTTCTCTCAACTTCTTTCACTGATTTCTAGCCTTCCATAGAAAATATCACTATCCCTTTGCAAAAATAATCGCTAGCTACCTTATTCATCTACTACCCAAAGTACTGAAAAGCCATATAAGCTCATTAATGTGTCTTCTAAGAAGTAAAAAAAAAAAGAAACAAATCTTATTTATACCTAAAATAACTTCCAAATAAATATATTATTCACTTGAATAAATGGAAGCATGGGCTAAGGTACTCAAGCTCACTTTCTGTTTGTTACAAAATCATTATCAAATGGGAACAGGTAGGGCCCTTGGAAGCCAAAATAAATATTTCCTATGTGGAAGTTGCCAAATGACATTTTCTTTAATGTGTATAATTTCCTCTAGTTGTCAATTCATTGTTAGTCGTGCTTCTTTAGGGTCTTTTATAACAAGCATAATTTTCCTCTCTTACTATGACAAACACTAGATACTTTAATGGGGCTTTTGTAGGGAATTATCCAATTGCAGGTCACAGAGCCTTTGTATTTAAATCAAAATTCCTTGTTCACTTCAATAAGAAAAATTGCATTAGGCTGAAACGCAGCAATAGTTGTTACTAGGTTAAATATATATTATGTCTTGTTCTGTGTGTGAGGTTTCTCTGGGGAGGGGCGGTGTTTTTTGTTTGTTTTCAGGTAAACCAGTAGAACCATTTTGGTTGAATAGATCTTTCTTAGGAGATGCTGATTTTAGAGGGTAAATTATACCCCTAAATTTTGATCACTTTCTGTAAAACCTTTTCCAATCAATTTATTTTTACCACTTCTGATTTAATTAATATATAAAGGTTATTTATTACAGCTTGAACTTTCATGAGAATTTAAGATGCAATATGAAATAACCTTCAATGTCAGTTATTAAAATTTATTTTTCAAATGGTCAAAGAACTTCCTCTGGTATTTGTGTTCTAGGATACTATTCCCAGTACAAATTTACAATATCCGAAACGTTTCATATTTTAAGAAAAACATACATTCTTTCTGTAGAAAGATGTGTGTTTCCTGGTTCAAGCTAATTAAAAGATATATTGCAGAGGAACAGAACTGTGCATCTTAATTAGTCTTTCAAATGAAGCGATCCTTTTTTAAAAAAAAAAAATCAAATTGGTGTTGGCTGTGTGGGCTAGGAAATTAAGCCCCTACAGAAGGACTGCCAGCATCCCATACAGATGGCAGTGCTCCATATCTGATCCAGCTCCTTCCTGGCTGCCTGGGGAAAGCAGCAGAATTTGACTCAAGTACTTGGGCCCTTGCAATATCTGAGACCAGGAAGAAACTCCTGGAACCTGGCTCTGACCTGGCTCAGCACTGGTCACTGCTGCCATCTGGTGAGTGAACCAACTGTTGGAAGATCTGAACCAGAGGACAGATCTCATATTTCTCTGTGTGTGTATATCTCTGTGTGTATCTCTCTGTCTCTGTCTCTCTCTGTAATTCTAACTTCCAAGTAAATAAATATTTTAACAAAAAATTTAGTTGTGAGAATTCACCTATGATCTCATCCAGATAAAGGATTACCATGTACTTATTTTTCTAACATAATTTGCATCAAATATTTATTGCTTCAGTAGTTTCCATTTACCATCAACTGAGACTAAGAAGATAATGATGAACCTATACTCTTTTAGTAAAAAACATAATTTCTACCATTCAGATTGGGTTTTAGAGATGGAATTAATTATTAGTCTATATTCAGAATCCCTTGATGATTCATTGTTTGTGCTGTAAATAGCACGTGATGTTTTAGGTACTGCATGTTTATTTCCTTTGGAAGAAAATGTCCTGTTTTTTTGAGGAAGGAAAGAAACTTGTAAGACATCAAATGTTTCTTGCAAAACAATTTGATGAAATAAATGTAAATAAATCAGAAACATGTGAATCATATTTCAATTAAAATTAATAGTTTTAAATATAAAGAGGATAAAGTGCTTGAGGGAAAGAGTGTGGTAAGGCGGGAAGTGACATTTGTTTTCATTGGTCTTGGATTCTTGAAAAATGGCATACTTCAACCTCAATTATACTTTTTTAAAAACACATGACAGAGTTAGGTCGGGAAAATCATGGCAAATTCATTTTATAGCTTCACCTGGCTCTAATTATAATGTATGTGTCAAACATTGCCACTGTGTAATCTTTCAAAATCATGTTTTTAAACTTGGATATAGGTGATTTTCTATACAGTTCCTTTAAGAGTAACGAAGAAATTTTAGTCATGTCCAACATGCACTTGAGAATTGTTCCTTCTTTCTAATTGAAGATAATCAGATCCAAGTGAGAAATACGACATAGGGGCTAGATGAGGATACACATGTTGGTGAGATGGGCAGGAGCAGAATGGAAAAAAGGAACAAGAAATGCGCGCAGAGCTGGACCATTAAATCCAATCCCATAGGAAAAAGATTGAAGTAACATTATGCAAAAATCCAAACATTTATCACAGTGTTATGACTACATCATTGGTGCTTACTAAGAAGCAAGTAAGCAGCCTGTTTTAATGATTTATATGTTTCCATTAAAGTGGAGTCATTTAATGACTCCTAATATCAGGGCAAATCAACTTCTGTAGCAAAATGGTTCAAGGTTTATGGGTAAGTTTCTATACCATTACATAGGAGTAGGATTGATGTATGATCAGACATTTTTGTTTCTCAGTTCTCAGAGTCTGGGAAGTTCCTGAAGACTTCCAAAATGCAGAGTGCATAGTGAGAACATGTAGAGGTGGGAAGTATGCACTATTTTTCAGCTGTAAGGGAGTGCCTTCTGGCTTCCTGAACACAGGGGTGTGGCATTCAGAACCCTGCCACCGCTCATCACCAAGTCTGGAATGAGGATGCTGCTTGATATCTCTGGGCCAAAGAGTTTACTGTCTCCAACTGTTCTGAAAGTGTTCTTCCTCCTTGCTTTTTAACAGGCAGTAATGGTAGGAAGTCACTCCTCAATTCCATAATTGGGTAAGCGATGTGATTGGCTTTTAGCAAGGTTCTTTGTTGTTTCATTTAACTATCTTTTCACTCTTCTTTAATAGATGGAACCTAGAGTAACTTAATTACTTCACTGCACTTTTCATTAGTGGTAATCCAACAATTACTATTGTTTCGTAGTCCTTGAAGTCATTCTTCAGGGTCAACTATCAAGAAAATGTCTGAATTCTAATTCCAAAGTTGTGTCAATGAAGATACACTGTCAGGTTAATGTGTGCTACTATCAAAAACCAGCTCTTACAATGTCCTAAATGAAGTAAGTGTCACCATGCAGGATCTCGGGTGAGAGCAATGTTACCAGGGTCTCTTTCCTTTCATAAGGGACAGATTTAGAATTCGGGATAGCCACCTTACATAGTAGGATGCAGATGGGTTTTGTTTTTTAATCCAGTCTACTAATTTATGACGTTTGATTAAGCTTAAGCCATTTACATTCAGAGTTTAATACGTATGAGTGATACTTTGGTCCTGTCATTGTAGAAATAGACCATTCATTGGTTTAGTCTTCTGTTGTCATTTTACTGGGATGTTCTTCCCATTTGCCTTTGGTTTTCTTTGGTGCTATTCCTCTTTGTCAAGAAAACATCTTGAAGTATCATTTGTAGGGCCGGATTGGAAGAGGCAAATTCTTTTAACTTTTCTTTGCTGTGGAAGAATTTTATTTCATTTTCAAAGACAAAAGAAAGCTTTGCTGGATATGTTTTCCTAGGCCGACAATATTTTCTTTTAGAGTCTGGCAGAAACTATATCACTTGGGATTTGATATTTTCTGTTAGTTTCATCTCTTCAAAGCAGTTTCTTCTGATTAAATTCTTCAGTGACTCATAGATCATACAGTAGCATCATTTTCTACAAGAAGGTTCTTGATTTTCATTTCTTCAGCTACAAGTTAGTCATTCAGCAGCATGTTATTTAATTCATGGTGTTGTTAATTTCTTTTTTCTTCCTGATGTTGATTTTGTTTTGTGGCTTTTCATTTAAGGGGATGTATGGTAGCTGTGTAATGGAGACTGTCATATCTAGTAACATGTTATTTAACTTCATGGCATTATAAATTTCTATTTTTTTCTATTGTTGATTTTGTATTATGGCTTTTCATTTGAGGGGATGTACAGTAGCTGTGAAATGGAGACTAACATATCCAGGTGTGAGGATACAACATAGTATGCATTTCTACTTCCAGACAAAAATGGACTTACAATGAAACTGTTTACTATATCTTGACAATAGGATTCTGGACTCTCTGCCATTGTCCATGCCCGCAATGATGGACGTATGACTGTGTATAAAGAACTATGCTTTAATAATGATATAGAGGAACTAGGCAGGGAGGGGAATTGGGGCTGGGATAAGGGAAGTACCAGGAGCCTGTGGAACTGTGTCATAAAGTGATAATAACAATAATAATAATAATAAAATGAAAAAAAAACATAGTAGGACATAACGCTTTTCCTCTTGTGTTGCTTTGCTTGCTGACAGGCCTACCCTTGCAGCAGTGACAAAGAGTGTGAAGTCGGGAGGTACTGCCACAGTCCTCACCAAGGATCCTCAGCCTGCATGGTGTGTCGCAGGAAAAAGAAGCGCTGTCACCGAGATGGCATGTGCTGCCCTGGTACTCGTTGCAACAACGGTAAGAATTCTCACTCAGTGATTGCGGGCTTCTCTTTATGTAAGGAGGAAGATTTGCAAGTCATGCTCACTTCTTGCTCAGATTCTTGAAGTTAGAGGAATCTTTTAGGATTGGGAGGGATTAAGTTATGGTTAGGTAGTGTAATTATTACCTGAATTACTTTCCAAGTCTTAGTTTTCCAGAGACCTAACCACCTTCCATAATTCGTGACTCATATGGAATGGTTCATGTTTTCAGAGGTTTCCATTCTGCTAAACATACAAGGGAATACTTATAATGCAATGAATCAAAGAAAGGAATCTACCATAATTTCGCATTGCAAGAATGTGTCTGTCTTCCCATTTCATATCTTGGTACTCTCATCAGAGAGACCCTGTGCCAGCCTCAGATGGTGAATCAGTGATTGTTTCTTCCAAACGGGGACAGGATATTCTATCTATACCTGAGCCTGACTTTACCTGATCTTAATGAAATAGAGGCAGACAATTTTGTGTTAATTATGAAATGAAGAATTACAGACAACACATGGTAAAAAAAATTGAGTAGTTACAGAAACTAATTAGAAACATGATTAATCAGAAATAGGAGCAAAATCAGTTTCATACCCAGTACCAGTTCCTGATCTCTGGGCATAGAACTACTCTATCTTGAGCACGAGGTGAAGAGAAGAATCCCTCAAACAGTCAGAGACACTTACAGTGCAACATAGGATTGTGTTGTTAATTAACAAGTCTCAGGATCCTGGGCATGAATGCCTTGTCTCATGATTTAAAAATACTGATGGAGAACATTAATTTTATACTTATATACTAAAAATAAGTCAGTGAAATTCTGTGTTTATTTCTGTTTTGGCCCAAAGTTACTGGGTCTGGAGAGAAACAAGATGTCCATCAACCAATCCTGACTCCAGGGTCAAGTGTGCCATATACTGTATCAGTAGGCATGTGAAAGAGGAAAGAAAGATAGATGGTTATTCAGAAAAGGAGGTGATTGGCTTCATACCACACCAGAAGCATTTAGAACTGTGTCCCTCTGTTTGCATGCCCATTTTCAGGCATCTGTATCCCAGTCACCGAAAGCATCTTAACTCCTCACATCCCGGCTCTGGATGGCTCTCGGCACAGAGATCGAAACCATGGTCATTACTCCAACCATGACTTAGGATGGCAGAATCTAGGAAGACCACACACCAAGATGTCACACATAAAAGGTAGGATGCTGTTTATTATTTTTTTATTTTATCAGAAACAGCAACAAAAAAGAAATAATAGGCATTCTGCTGACTGTACAAAGAAATTATAATGAGAACATTTTAAAAGAATGCCTTACTTCCGAGGATGATATAGAGTCCCTAAGGAATAATGCAAGAATGGCAGCAGTTAGATTAATCATGCCATTTTCTAAACAGGGCCTTCTTTTTATAAAGAATTTGGAAGAAACATTATATAAAGCTTGTTGCCACCTCTATATCAAATAATAAAGCGTTTTTTTGAAAAAAGGAAAGGGAAATATAGTCATAAGATTAACTCATTAGATTTGTGAATTATGTTCTTATATTTTCAAATTTGAAAATTTTATTTCACTAAATAATTAGATGATTAATTGATTAAAAGCCAATCTTTCAAAAATAATTGGTTTATCTTGGGATCAAGCAAAGTTATTCCATTTCATTCCTTGCATAATAGTGCAGAAATCCAACCATTATGGGACTAAAAGTATCCTGTGTTTAAAAGGTTTTGTAAAATGTATCTTACAATTTTTAAAAATTTATGATAAAATATTTGTGGGCTGAAGACTCTCAGAGGTCCATCGGTAAGAAACCTGGTTACATTTTTTCCAACACTTGCTCTCATACTTCCCTGTTTTGTAGCACTAGCGTCCCATGGATTATCTGACCTATTAGTCTGTTTTGGTCACATAGATTGTATTAAAGGGCTGCAACTCATTTCTCTTATCATTATTCTACCCTGCCTAAAGTTCTAAAATTCTTTTTTTTTAACCATAGTTCTTTCCATTTTCCTTCTGTCAAATTCATATGCATTAATTGTTACAGGAATATCCTTTATAGCAACAGATAACCTGGTCAGGTCTGGGCTTTGGCAATACATTCTCCCATTTCAGTTGCCTGAAGTAGGGTCCTAGCAAGGCTGTGTACCCTAGTGGCTTTAGCCACTCGCTGATAGACCTGTCAGAATTTCAATCATGGCCAGTGATTCCAGTCCTCAGATTCGGGTTCTACCTGAGTCTTTGGAGCCTTCAGCCTAAGTTTAGTAGTGGCCCTCTATGACAGCTTACTGTCCTAAAGGATTTTCCAGCTCTGTTACCACTTGTGAGTCTAATTCTCTTTATGAAACATATTCTGTTTCAAATATTTGTAGTTTTTTTCCCCTTGCTGGGTGCTAAATACTGCATAGTCTTAGCAGTCCTTGAAAATTTCAACTTCAAAACTAGGCATTTATTTTTATCTTTCAAGAAAATATTAAATTATTTAAAAGCTATTTAATTTTTTTTATGCACTCACCTAGTGGAAAGAAAGGAGGAAAAAGTAGTTTTCTGTGAAATATCTAATAGTGGACTATGACAAAATAGAGGGAGGTGTATCGTCCTGGCTGTCCATGCCTTAATTGCATTTGAAATGTACAAGACAAGTAACATAAACAGACATTGATGGATTTTGGGGATTACAGAAAGAGTCAATTGGTATGAATCCAAAACTTTTCCAGTGTCCTCAAGGATAGTCTAAGTGCAAATATTCTTTCTACTCCTGACTTCAAAGAAGACCTTTTTCTGAGGTGTTAGGATAATGTCTTATCTTTTGATCCTCCTCTCTATAGGGCATGAAGGAGACCCCTGCCTACGATCATCGGACTGCATGGAAGGGTTTTGCTGTGCTCGTCACTTCTGGACCAAAATCTGCAAGCCAGTGCTCCATCAGGGGGAAGTTTGTACCAAACAGCGCAAAAAGGGCTCTCATGGCCTGGAAATTTTCCAGCGGTGTGACTGTGCAAAAGGCCTGTCTTGTAAAGTATGGAAAGATGCGACCTATTCCTCCAAAGCCAGACTCCATGTGTGTCAGAAAATCTAATTGCCTCTGAAGAAAAGTGTCACTAGCAGACTGTGAATTTGTGTATTTAATGCATTAGAGCATAGTGGAAAAGAAGGTGTGGAATACAGGAGACTGGCTAAAGTGAAGAATGTAAAAAAAATCACAGGAAGGAAGAAACAGAACGGAAGGAATTAGAATGGTGGACAAGGCAACACAGCTCTGTGTTTCCATTATGCAACTTGTTTATGTAAATAATGTACACATTTGTGAAAATGCTATTATTAAACAAAAGTGCACAGTGGAAATTATTGACGAATGCCATGAGAATTTCCAAGAGTTTAGGTTGTGCTGGAGGAGAGATTTGCTTCAAATTGGTGATTAATTACATGAATAAACTAAGAGTCATATTTTATTCGAAGTTGTAGTTGAATAAAGTATACCCGTAAAACATGAAAACAGTTGTTAAACAGGAATTTAAAAACACTGAAAGTAGTTAATTTGCAACACAGAATCTCCTCTTAAGTTGGAGGAATTACTTTTACCAACTCAATTAAAGGCTCTCACAGAGAAGGAAAAAAGCAGCCAGTATTTTCCAAATGCCTTCAAAATAAAGGAAGGTCTTTCATCAAACTCCTTAAGCAAAAAACAAGAGTGTTTTTCCTCAGCTTGCTTATTTACAGTTTTCAGAAATTTAATTTCTCTTGAAATGAATAGGAACTGGCATAAGACAGTGTCCTAGATTTTGAAGGAAATAAATATTGCATCTCTTTCAATTCTATATGATCCCTATCCTGAATAGATTTTATTTTCCAGATTACACAATATAAACACAGACCAGAAATTTCAGATTATGAAAAAGTAAAGATGTCTAAACTATGTGGAAAGTAAAGATAATGAGAGTGCAAATTAAAAAAGAATCTTTTTTTAAATATTGGTGTCACACATTTATACTTTACATACTCAGCAGCAGAGCAGGGGGAAGCCAACCATTGGCAGTAGGCTGGTATGTGTTCGGAGGTGAAAAGATGCAAGGAAATATGGAAAATGCCAATTGTCCAGGTTTTGGGAACACATGAGTTACATGTTTCAAGCACAATGTGACATTTCATCATTGAAACCAGAGAATGCACAACCTAAATGGAAAGTCTCCATGGGATTTGCTAGTGTAATACTTTCTGCAGATGGGTACAGCATGAGTTCACTTGCCCTTACTATTCTTTAAGTCTTTGTTTGATATTTTTGAGTTTCTAAAATACTCTTCATATTAGTAGGTCTCACAAAATGGACTCCCAAGGTAAATAGATTACTGGAGTTCCATTACGCAGTTCAGTCTGGCCAAGGCAACCCTGATTTCTCTGTACCAGTCTGTTTATACAACAGCTATTTTATTGCCAATGATACATTTTCTTTTGAGACTAAAAACATATAACTGGCTGGAGTAGCATCAAAGCTACATATTGTGAATCTTCGCAAGTCACAGTATCTAAATTCTTAGAAAACACTGTGCTATGTTTTGTTATTTTTACTTAATTCTAAGTATTATGTCTAAATCATTAAAAAGGGTTAGCCTATAATTGTTACTTTGAACTTTTATAGAACATTAAGAATACACTGCAGTCTCAATTTCAAGTTCATCCAGTAGAAATTGAATCTTAATAATTGTATCTATCAAGACTTTCAGCTTTTCATATTTACTAGATTGATTAAGCTATGTATTCCACAAAAGTCTGAAAAGCACAAAAGTTATGAACTAATTTATCGAAGAGCCAAGGTTTGTAAAAACAATGGCTATAAGGTTGGTGATATGAAAAGAGAAGATTTCAGTAACAAAGTTCCTATACAGCAATTATATTTACAATCTGTTGTTTGCATTATTTCCCCTGTAATCGCCCTTACCAAAAGTATTATTTGAAGTAATTTATTTACAGGAAATGTTAATGAGATGTATTTTCTTATAGAGATATTTCTTACAGAAAGCTTTGTAGCAGAATATATTTGCAGCTATTGACTTTGTAATTTAGGGGAAATGTATAATAAGATAAAATATATTAAATTTTTCTCTTCCAAAAAATTTAAATTCAGATTTCTTTGTGTTTTGCTTAAGGGAAGCATATTCATAAAATCCTCCACTCTCAGAGTTCTATCCTCGCTCCTCTTATGTAACAGTGTGAGTTGGGAATCATTCTGATGACATCACCATGACATGATCTATGGCAGTTTACTGTCACTGAAGACTACTTCTTCATGATAAGGCAGCACAAATTCTAGAAAATCAAATTTTTTCTTCTTTTAACCAAAATATTCTAACCTTTGACTCCTACCCTTCACCATTTTGGACATCTCTGACCTCAACAAATTTGTTCAAAACACTTGGAGTCAGACAGTCTGACTTTATGTAAGTATGAATCCCTACAACTTTCTATTTAGCCTAAAAGTTTCCAAAATGGAAATACAGCATATTCAAAGTACTGGTTATTTTTCATATGAATTAAAGAAGTAACATGTCAATTTTATTTGTACATGGAGATAGACTAAATTACCTGGGCCTGAGTAAACTCAAATTTACTAAACAGGATGTGAAACTTTTCTTTTGCTCTTGAAACCAAGGATATCGTGAGCATTTGACAAACAAAACTCATCAGCTATGAGTTCTGGGAAGATAGAATAAAAGAAAATCCTAATCACCTGGAAATGTAGAAGAAATACATTGTGTGACATAGTGAAATAAAATTAAGTGTAGATTTAGCAATTTAATGAAGCTAAAACAGACTCATAGCTAGAGGTAAACTTCAAAGAAGTTTTTATTTGAGGTGCTATTAAATAGTTACCCAGATGAAATAGAAAATGAAATTTATATGTTCTGGCTTAGTGTAGTTTTAGGCTGTAACAATCATATTGGTGATGTTTTTCCTTTCCGTGATGTTCAATGACGCGCTTTGAGATGTGATAAATTGTTTTGACTTCCCTTTTCAAAAAGCTAAGAAATAAAAATAGGATTTCTGGGAACATACTCAGTGACACTTTTTTCTTCATTCATATGCAGGTCAATTAAGAAAAAAGTTTCAAAAAATAATATCATATGGCACATTACCCTATTGTTGATACAAGTAATATGGGGGGACACATGGGTCTGTGACCCATGAAATATCTCAGCACTAAACACCAGGAATAGTCAAATTCCAACCTTAATCACAGGCAGCCCTAGATTACACCAGTTTTACCTTGTGGAATACCATGTAGAACTTAAACCATAGTGGGCAGAAAGAATGGCATTCACTATTGTGACAGCACGAAAGAAGGGATATGGGAGGGTCAGAACTATTGTGCTCAGGATCTTTTTAAAACTTCCATAAAACTGAAAAATTCATCCCATATGTGACATGTGAGTGAAGGACAGAATGAAATGAAATTCACAGTTCCAGCCCAGATTCAACTTACAATAAGGGTTATAGAAGAGGAATAGTTAACATATAATTTTTAAACTTTTATGTATTACCTCATTTGCATAATTATATCCAACACACTATGTAACACAATTTATTAGACATTCTCCCATGAAATTAAATGATATTTTGAGTTTCTGATAAAAATATAAACAAATTTCAATAAAAATCTCAATAGAGATAGGTACCCCATGTTGGAGCATAAATCTTCCATTGGAAATTCTCTAGGGTGAAACTAAGATATAAAAATTAATCATCTTGGATGTTAATATTCAAGTAAATTGAAATAAAAAGAATTATTCTGAAATTTATCTTTCCTTTTTTTTCTAAAAAAATTATTTTTATTGGAAAGGCAGATTTACAGAGAGAAGGAGAGAGAGAGAAGGATCTTCCACCTTCTAGTTTAATCCTCAAGAGGCCACAATGGCCAGAGCTGAGACAATCCAGAGCCAGGAGCCAACTCTCCCAAGCAGGCGCAGTTTACCAAGGCCTTGGGTCATCCTGTACTGCTTTCCAAGGACACAAATGGATATCTGTATGGGAATCAGAGCAGATGGGGCATGAAACGGAGCCCATTCAGGATCACCAGCATTAAAGGCAAGGATTTAGCCACTAGGCTATTGCTGCAGGTCTAGCTATCTTTCTTTCTAGTATCAGTCCAAATAAATTAATGTTTAAAATATCAATCCTGGGCCCGGCGCGGTGGCGCAAGTGGTTAAGTTCCTCGCCTTGCACGCCCCAGGATCCCATATGGGCGCCGGTTCTATCCCAGCAGCCCCGCTTCCCTTCCAGCTCCCTGCCTGTGGCCTGGGAAAGCAGTCGAGGACAGCCCAAAGCTTTGGGACCCTACACCCGCGTGGGAGACCCGGAAGAGGCTCCTGGCTTTGGATCAGCATAGTATCGGCCATTGCGCTCACTTGGGGAGTGAATCATCGGACGGAAGATCTTCCTCTCTGTCTCTCCTCTCTGTATATCCACCTTTCCAATAAAAAATTAATAAAAATAAATCTTAAAAAAAAATATCCATCCTGTGCCATCAATGTCAGGACACACTTAAATAACAGACTGATAGACATATGATGGCTTATGAAGGACTATACTATTATAACAATATGGAGAAAAATAGCTGGGGATTGGAAATTTGGGGAGGGGGTAGGGAAATTCCAGACCCTATGCAAATGTATCATTAAATAGAAAAAAGAATAAAATTAAAAATTAAAAAAATTCCATATTAATGATGAAAAGTTTTCTGTTTCCAGAAAAAGTTTCTGTGTTAGCCAAAGGATGTTGTGATGTCTGAATGAGTTGAATTGCTTCCTCAGCCCTGGCCTTCACAGTTCCACACTAAACTGAATATAAGGCTAATAAGACCTATAAGAGATTTGTTAGTTCAGCAACAATCTCTGATAGATTTTACCTTTAAGAAAGTCCAATAAGTTTTTAGGACACACAAGGGTAAGCCAAGGGGCTAACACATTTAGAAAATAAACTAATTTTTAGTTCTTTGGCAAATTCTGTTTAACACATGCAGAATTTAAGTGTTCAAAACCCTAAGAAAGGTGTATATATTGAAAATAGATAAGGCATAATATTTGGTTTTTCTTTGCTAAAATTTCCAGCCAATCTGAACCGTGTTTGTGGAACACAGGACCACTCAACTGAAATTTATATAGGTAAAACATCCAATAAAGAATTAGATATGGCAGGTTTGGATGAGAATCCACATGTGTATTCTATGTCCTTTTAGGAAGTGGGTTTTAGGAAGTGCTGCCACATGTATTGTAACTTTGCCATATATTACTCATTAGCTTTTGTTCCACATGTAACATCTGTCTACCTCTACGACTGAGATAACATACACACACATCTGAAATAACAATTCTGAAGTGAACCTGAAAGAATTTTTTCGACAAGGAGTATGAGCTGACTTGTGTTGTGTGAATAGGCTTTGAGCATCCAGTTAAAACACACTGAAAGTCTGGATTAGTGAGCAAGGCAAAAAAACCTAAGCCATTGGGATAATGTGCTTTGAGGATACAAGCAACTGAACTCATACTGAGTAGGTGTTGTCAGAGAAATATGGGAGACTTCATGTTCTAGCATGATGACAGGAACACAGGAAGAGAAGTCTTTGATAAGAAAAGT